TTTTTTTTGTTTTTTCTATTTCACAAGTACTGACTTAGCTGCTCAATGGGTAGGTCTGAATCTGACTGATTGAGAAATCAACAGTGGGGCTATTGCAAATGGTAGACAAAACAATGTGATAATTAATATCTTTTTTTAGAATGCCTTTAAAATGTCTTTTACTACAGTTTAGATAACATTGTTCTGCTTTTTTTGTTGTGGTGGTATATGTTGTTCTTCCCTATTTAATCTATTTTCTGTGAATCATTTGACTGTCTTGCTGTTGGTAATGAAATCTTGATGCAGGCTTAGCAGTTCAAGTGTTCTATCACGTACTCTTGTTTGTTTGCCATTAATAATTAATGTTTCATGTAGTATAATAAAGCCTTTGTTTTTCATACTTTTATACCTCTTATAGAGCCATCAAACACCATTTCTCATGTAGATTAAGAATATGAGGCTACAGAAGTAGGAAGACATAAATCTAGTGACTAATGCAAGGATCATATGGAGGAAGTTGAAAGTGGGAAAAAGACGTTTCACCATCCTAATGTCCTCTGTTCTTTTTTGGAAAAACTATGTGAATGTACTAATTTACTCATTGAAGTATATCCATTGGTTCATAGGAAACTGGCGGTAGGCATTGTATAATCCTGTTTGTGTAATCTTGCTTGCCTGTGCTTTGAGAAATATCAGTCTGAACATTGAGGTTTGTGGGCAAAGGAAACCAAGATCAGCATTTAGCTTTTACAAAAAGAATATACTTAAGTGTCTCTGATATCTTCAAAGGGAAGCAATGCAAAAAATCATTAAAAATTTTTTTGAAACACATGGTAAGTGTCCTGGAAACTTTGATAAAATGTAATGTCTAAACTGGACTTTTGGTCTGGTGCTGTAGGATGATAAGCACTGCACTGTGAGCCACAGGGTCGGTGGTTCAAACTTCAGCTGCTCCTCGGAAACCCTATACAAGGTCACTATGAGTTAGGGCCAACTTGGTGGCACTTAACAACAACAGTGTCTACACTAGCAAAAGAATAAAGAAAGGTGACACTCATTAGTATAGGCATTTTCTTCAAAGTCATTCACTGGATAGATCCTTACAGTTTCTTGTAACTGTTCCTGATAACTCTGTGCTTCTAAGAAATGCGCTCTGTGTAGTTTTTCTGGAGCGATTATGCAGGTCTTCCCAATTAATTACTTTCATGATCTAAGTTTACTGCCACCAAGTTCTCCTGCTGAACACAATTTCTGCATAATTTTTGGTTGTTGAAAGAACTCAAAAATGGGGAGTCAAAACAAAATTAGATCTTTAAACTATTTTAACTTAAATTCAATCATCCTTTTTGATGTAGAACTGAAGTTTTTTCATATGAGAGTGGGTGAGGTTTGCCGGTTGGAGTTCATTTTGGCATGTAGCCACATTTAATATGCATCATCAACCACTATTTCTGGTTTCACTGTCTTTAAAGTGGAAAAAGTTCTTAAAAGCTCTTTAAAATAGAATCCCTATAGAGTTGTATTATTTGTTCCCTGGTGTGACGCTGTAGGATAAGCACCTGACTATGATATTGGTTTGAACCTCAAGGTCAGTATAGAGTTGCTATGTGTCCGAACTAACTTGATGGCACTTAGCAACAACAAAAACAAGTCTTACATTATAATAATATCCATAGCTAAGTATTTCAAACCCACCAGCCGCTCCTAGGGAGAAAGATGAGGCAATCTGCTTCCGCAAGGATTTACAGCCTTGGAAGCAATGGAGCAGTTCTGCTCTCCCCTGTCGGGTCACTATGAGTCAGAATCTACTGGATGGCAGTGGGGATACCTAATTCAAATGCTATATTTTTATGTTGTGAGTAATTTGCTCTTATGTACTAGTTACAAATCGGGCTGCTAACCTCAAGGTTGGCAGTTCAAAACAACCAGCTGTTCCATGGGAGAAAGATGAGGCTTTCTGCTCCCGTAAAGATTTACAGCCTCAGAAACCCTCGGAAACAGGGTCGCTATGAGTTGGAACTGACTCCACAGTACTTAAGAGACTCCTGGTCTAGTACTGTAGGATAAGTGCTGAACTGCTAACCACAAGGTCAGTGGTTCAAACCCACCAGCTGCTTCTCAGACACCTTATATACAGGATCACTGAGTTGGAGGTGACTCTGTGGCACTTAACAGCAACAACAGTCCTTATAAGACCCTTGGTGCAGCACTGTAGGGTAAACATTGGGCAGGTAACCGCAATGTCAGTGGCTCAAACCCAACAACCTCTCCTTGGAAACACTACACAGGGTCGCTGTGAGCCAGAATTGATTCAAGAGACCACAATAATAACAATGCTGAAATTAGTTTTTCCATTCAGTTTATCAGTTTATGTAATCATACATACTATGTACACATACACACATACATATAATAATGAGGTCACAAGAAACATTCTTGGTAAACAATTTGTGGTGAGCAGAGGTACTCAGGGAGTGAAGCCTCGGAGTTGCCTGCGTTCAGTTCTGAGAGCCAGTCTGAATGCTTTCCAGGGCAATGGAGACAATAAATGAAATCCTACTGTGTTGCATTAATTAAACTGTGAGGAGCAAACACCTCCATGAAGCATCAGTGATCTATTGTAAGAACTGAAATCCCCAGTAGTTTGTTGATTGGAAACTCCTTATTTTCAGTCTTCATGGTTTTTGAGATGTGACTTTGAATAAGTGCTTTTTTGCAGTTAGGTACTAATTACCATAAGTGGTGTCTTAGTTTAAGTTTTTTTCTCATTGTCCACATTGGAAATCTATGGTTGTCAGAATTTAAATCCCGAGGAACTGTGAGTTATGGCATTGCCTCATCTGTCTGTGATAGACAGTAATTGATTTTCATAAACAAGGCACCCGCTTTTTTATTTCTACCGTTTTTCGCTGTGCTTCCATTCTGCTACCTGGTATGTGTGAGCTGCACCTTTCAGAAATTACGTGACTATTTTCACACTTCTTGACTTCATGACAAAGGGCCATGCTAACGCCATCACTGAGTTCTAGAGTTGGTTCTTTGAAAGTTAAATACCCTCAAGACATAATACATGTCCCACATGTGCTCCTACGTAAGCTAACCATTTAGCATTTGCAAAACCATAAGCTTTGCTAAAGCACTGGCGAAATCAGACAGTTGTTCTTGGTGCTGGCCAAGAGCTCTAGAGTATGCCTGATAGGTGTGTTGATGAAGAAGGAAGACACAAAAGATCATGATCTACATCCTTACCTTAAATCCATGGACCCTCAAGGGAGTCAGACTTACCGTGACCCTGTAGGACAGAGTAGAACTGCCCCATATGGTTTCCAAGGCTGCAAGTCTTCATGGAAGCCGACTGTCATATCTTTCTCCCAAAAAGTGCTGTTGAGTTCCAACTGCTGATCTTTTGTTTAGCGGCCTACTGCCTAGCCATGGCACCGCCCCAGGGCTCCTTGTCCCTTCCTTATTTTCTAAATACATGACCTGAGGGAAGTCAGTGAACCTCTCAGAGGACTGCTTCCTCCCCTGATGAGGAATTCCCTGACCCAATAGTAGATGTTCAAAAGTATAAAAATTCTTTATAATTTCTGGTTCTCACCTGTTGCCTTTCATTTCTGCCTTTATGTTAATTTGGGGGTCTCTCACTTCATCTGGCTAATTTTCAAACTTCAAGACTTTGTTCCTGCAGAATGCCCCTCAACTACCTGAGACAAATACTCTTTCCATCATAAACCTTTACCTTCATGTTGCATTTGAATAGATTCTTCCCTCTTCTTGCTGTGACTATCCCACTTCCTTTCCACACAGCACATTCGAATTGGTTTTCCATCTAGCAGCTGAAGTGTCACTTTTTTATTTGAAGCCATACCTGACTTTTTACAGTTCTTCCTTACTGAGTGTACTCGTTTCCCATGTGCCACTTAGCACACATTGCATCTCCCCGTGTGTCATTTACTGCACATTATATGATCATTAGTTAGCTTCATAGCCATTAAAATAAAAATCCTCAGTATGGAGGGGCCTGTCAAGTTTCTCAATTTCCCTGGGTTTCTGAAGCATGGTAGTTGCCTATTAAATGTATGCTGAGCTGAATAAATCAGCAAAATGTCCTCTTTATCCCATATGTTTTTTAATTACTCACCCTTTAAAAAAAGAAAAAAAAAAAAGCATTGTTGGGACTTTGTAAATTATGAAACACTGCTCAAAAATGTCTTTTTTTTTGTCCTGTACCTATTCAATCATCAGTTTACTGAATAATGAGTGTTTCATGATTAAATCACAGATTCAGGAGATCACAGAGTCCTTTCAAAAATTTTTTAGCTTATGAACACCTTAGAAGATTTAATAAGCTTTGAAAGATCTCCCCAGCAGGGAAAGTTTCACCTATACGTTGTTGTTACGTGCCATCGAGTTGGTACCAACTCAGCAACCTTATGCACAGCTGAACAAAACACTGCCCGATCCTGAGCCAACCTCACTATGTTGCCACGCTTGAGCCCACTGATGCTGCCACTTTGCCAATCCATCTCGCTTGGGGTCTTCCTCATTTTATCTGACCCTCCACCTTACCAAACATGATATCCTTCTCCAGAGACTGGTCCCTCCTGACAATATGTCCAAAGTA